CAGTTAGCTCAGTCAGTTAGAGTGTGGTGCTTTTAACACCAAGGTCATGGGTTCGATCCCTGTTCAGTCCCCATATGTTGCCTGATCTAGTTTAGAGGCGTCTCTGCCCATGACTGGAGGTTGGATTAAATGATCTCTAAGGTCCCTTCCAGCCTAGGCCATTCTATGATTCTACGATATCTTTGTTTGCGAAGCCTAGCCATGATGATGATTTGCTGTGAAAGTGCAGAGATACTTCCAGTCAGATATTTTAGAGTATAACTTTAGAGCTGGCTTTTGGTCATTTAAAACACTTTCTGGAAATAGACAAAGATTCAAGAACCTGTACATTTGGCTGTGCAAGCAGGTAGAGATTCAGTTTAGATGCCAGCTGTCCAATAGGAAAACTCCAGTAGAAATGACCGAAGCTTCCTCAAAACCATAGGGACTTTCTTGGTCAAAGGTATACTACCAGTTCATTGCACTTTTGTTCAAGACAACATTTAGGAGCACATGGGAAAGAAGCGTCCAAGTCTGTACATGCTGGCCTCTTTCAAAGTACCATACCTTAGGACCACCTTCTATAAACTTTTTACTCGGAAGAAGGTGATAAATCGTGCCCTCATCAAGATACTTCTCTGGAATGACTTTTTTAACAACTCTTTCCAATAACTCCTTCTGTATTTGCTGGAGAGGGATGTCTGGGGCATGATGTACAGAAATCACAAGTGTGTGCACTCGTATGGGTTCCACTGCGCCATTATTCTCCTTGTATTCCATTGTGACCTAGAATGAAAAAAAAGAAGGGACAGTGAACAGTAAGGTCAAGAGCACCAGTTTGAAAAGTAAAAATGAACCTCATAGTTATTTTCTGCAACAAAAAGTAAACAGAGGAAGGGAAATGGGATGAAAACCGATGGATTGTTGCCAGTACTTAAAATCACTGTGGGAAAAAAAATGTAAAGTACTGAAGTACCACTACCAAAAGTCTCAACTAAAGGATACTACACATATTGCCACAAAGAAGCAACATAACAACAAGAAAGCTGCACAAGCCTAAGAGTTTACCAGCAGAGGCTAAAATTATTCATAATTTTGGCATGTTGACATAACCTGAAAGAGTGAACTACCACAGTAAAACCAAAATAGCTGTTGGAGGACCCTGCTAAAAATGAATGACTCTAATAAGTTATGTTGTTTCCTTTGCTACTTATTGCACAGCTTTTGTGTACATGTAAATATACACTGGCATTGCTCCATTCTTAGTATAGGTTTTCTTACAGACTATGAAGCTCTCTTTACTTTCCCACCCTTCAAAAATGCTTGGACAGATACATCACAAAGAAATCAGTGTATTAACTTTCTATGCACTGCTGACAAAAGGTAGAGACACAACCCATGTTGCACTGCAGCAGCTGCAGTATAACTCAATGCACTTCACCCCCACTAAGCAAAAGAAATTAAAACTAGAACACATTGCTGTCTTGGAAATGCCACCTTTGAGACTGCCGAAGTGCTTCACGGTTATAGTAGGCTCAGTGACTCACACACTCAGCTCTGCAATGCAGCTGTTCGTGGCTCTGACCCCTGACCAAGTATAGTATACATGTGATTTGAATCAAGAAAAGCTCTGTTTTAACTAGGGTGCCATAGTATTACACCAGACCATGCTTCTGTAATGTAAATATTTAATCAGAATAAAAACTATTCAATTGTTAGTAATTTGTTAAACTTCTTAATCACCAGAGGAAAAGAAGCAAAATACAAGTGTTGTTTTGAAGAAACCTGCTAAGACACTGATAGAACATTTAAACAAACCATGTGTGCTTCATACAACTCACACCACCCTGGAACACAAAAATGACAGCACCACTTTTGTCAAACGTGGGTTCTGATTTAGCATCAAATAGGGTAACTTATTGTTTCTCACCCTCATGTTTTATGCATCTACAAACCTGTGTTTTCCCATCTGGTCTAAGCCAGGGCCATGTGCCATTGCGTTCCAGAGCCTTTATGCTTGCAGTCAGTTTGTGTGCCAGTAAGAGTGTTAAGGGCATACATTCCTCAGTTTCATCAGTGGCATAGCCAAACATCAGACCCTGCAGTAAAAAAACAGGGAACTGCATTGAAAAAAGGGGAAATAAGACACTTCTATGTTCTCTTCCTATTTCTGCGTCTCTCTTTGCCACATAGTACTTTAAAACCACCCAAGCCTAGAAAGAGACAGCAGTAACATTCAGAGTGAATACACTTTTACATATAACCAGCTTGAAATAACATATATATATCTGCACACACAAGAATCAGGCCCATAGCCAGGTCCGGTTCCCAAAAATTACTCTGCCTTAAGCATCCATAAGAACCTGCCTCAAGGCTTAAGAGACATAAAGCTCACAAAGACTGGTCAGTCTTCTCCCCACACGTGACAACTAAAATAACACAGCATTTGATGCCTAAAAGTCAACCCAAAAGACTTGAAAAACAGAAGCTGACATCAACTGATAAAAAGCTTAATTGTAGTCTTATCCAATAAAGCCCCTGGGTATGGGAAAAGCAACCTTCACCCAAGCTAGTGAAGAACATGTCACTTTTTTGCACTTCTGGGTGATTAAGAAAGTGCACAAAGAAAATGCTGATAATTCTTGCAATTTGCACAATAGCTTTAAAGGAAAAGCTCTGGTCCAACACAATTCTAACTGCTTATGTAAAAGAAAAATCTGAGTAAGTGCCTGGAATTAAGTCCCATTACCTGATCCCCTGCTCCAATGTCATCGTCACTCTTGCCATGGGAAACAGCTTGCTTGATCTCTTTACACTGTTGTTCTAAGGCCACCAGAACGGTACAAGTCTTATAGTCCAGTCCTAGTGAAGGGAGTTTTGTAAAGCTAGATCATACATTCTTGAGAGTTCTCAAATTGCTAGAAAAGCTCTTAGGGATTAACAAGTTATCTTGGCTAAAACTTTTAAAACTCTAAGCATGTAAGCTTTCTATACTATGTTTTATATTGCTAATAGACGCAGCCAGCACATTTATATAACAGTGTCAGGATGTGGGCAAGTTAGTGGTATTAGTTCAAACTTAAGCTCTTGAAACCGAGAGCATAAATGTAATCCTACAAGTTGCCCCACCAAAGCTTATTACATAGCCCATGATGATTTGTGTTGAAACCATTTAGGTGTTAAAGCTGGGAGAGGAGTGTGGAAAACGTTGCCAGAAACTGGTTTTCAGTTTTTCTTGTAGTAGGTTCTAGAGTTCAATAGAATTACAGAATCATAGAATTGTTGAATTGCTTAGGTTGAGAAAGACCTTTAAGACCGCTGAGTCCAACAATTAACGTAGCAACACCAGGTCCACCGCTAAACCATGTCCAAGAGAAAAGCTGTATCATGCATGAAGAGGGATAACTGAAGTAGAATAGTCATGTAAGGAGTAGTACTGCTGAAAGGAAGCTACTTTGGGAAATGCATTAAGAATACATAAGGAATTCCCTTGAGTGTGGACTTCAAGCATCCTAGACTTATGCACTCCAAGGACAAGGAACATTGGTGTTAAAGTGTTCACTGTACAAACCTGTAGATGTAACCATGTCCTGTCACTCGTGCAAACACTAGTTCTTTTGCATCAGCGAAGCAAGGGCTATCTGACTTTCAAGAAAAAATCTTTTACAATTATGCCATCTTAAAACAGTGCATTCAGTAGCTCGCACTGAAAAACGTGTATCAACATGTGTTCAGTTTTCTCCTAGTCCTGGATATACATTTCATTCTATTTTTCAGAAGATCATAAACCCATGAGTTTGGACACATGCAGAACAGACCCAAGAATGAACACACGAAGTATCTTACTCACCTTTGGAAGAGTCATCATACCCTATCCTCTTAAGGGTCTCCCTTACAATTTGTTGGTAATCTACGATAGCTTGGGATGTGATCTCTCCACAAAGCAAAATCATTCCAGTTTTTGCTACACATTCTGCGGAAAATAGATGAGACATCAGAATTTTACTGCTACTATTTTACAGTTATGCAGGGAGATCCTGAAGATGGTTTTATGAACAAAGGATTGGTCATAGGGGAAACCCTGTAAAGCCTTAGCATACATACAGGTCTGTGTGCAACCACTCTTCAGCTGATATGAACATTAAAATGCCTGCAGAAGGTATAGGGGAGGGAGTGTCCATCTTCCCCAATTATCCTGTCACCATAGTGGTCAGCAGGAAACAACTGTAAGAACAGATCGAGTATATAGAGCTATTTGTTCAAATACATCCACGATCTCCAAAAATTTCAGCTCAAGGTCTTCCTGAAGCTAAAGGGACATAATTTTTTCACAGATGGCATTGCTAGTCTGTGATAGATTTTTGTTACAGTAATTTACCCAGTTGCCGTTGACAATCATGAAAACTTTTAACATCTCCAGGATCCTGGAGCAAGAAGATACACTCCTTCATTACAGATTTTATGAAGATTCTTTTCATATCTTACTTCCTTGTTTGTTTCAAGTGTTCACTTGGCCTCCAACCTTTTCTGTTTCATGTTAAAACACACGGCAAACGATCACAAAAAATTCACCATGTCAATACAACTACAACTGCACGGTTCTACTTTGTATCTCATCCAAACTTCTCTTTCTCCAGACTGGGAAGGGCCTAGGCTATTCACTGAAAGACACTGTATGGCCACAGAATCACGGAATCATTGAGGCTGAAAAAGACCTCTGAGATCATCAAGTTTAGCCTATGACTCAACACCATCACACTGGCCACGATTGTATTCATCACTACTGCCATACAATCTTACTATAGCCTTTTTTTCAGATGAGAAAAGAGAAACAGATTTCACTCAGTATTCAAGACAGGCAACCATGGATTTACGTGACTTAATGATGTTCTCAGTTCCACTCTTCATTCTTTTCCCAGCAAGCCCTAACATTCAGCTTGGGTTTTTATTTCTACTGAGTATTAACTCTTTTCATAGAAACAGATGTCTATTACAACCCTAAAATCTTTCTTCCAAATGCTTACAGTGAACTGCAAACCTTATGTTCGATACATGGGGACAAGATTGCTCCCTTCCCCCTTGCATTAGTCTACACTGAATTTCAGCTGTCACTTTTATCATCCAGTCACCATCTCATTTTAATAATTTTATTTGATTTCAAGATTAAATATTACAGGCAGCAATATGCTATAAAATTGCATAACTATGGACTGCAGCATCACGTAAAGAAAATAAAGCTATCTTTAACTGTCATTAGCTTAGATAATTCAGACAAGTAGTTGAGAATTTAGAACAAGCTTGTCTGAAAGAGGAATTAGTTTATATCGAACTCTTAAACAACATCCTAGCTGGCATGGTATCTCTGAATTACACTTTGGATACAGTAGCCCTAAATATGTACAACACACCAATCCCATGTCATGATACATCTATGCTACAGGATATCCTGGTACCATTATTTTCATACTCAGTCTGTGCTCCCACTCTACTGACCAGCAGTGCTCTTCCTGTTTTATGACTCCAGTTAGCAGTTTTTATATGTTTTTATCCACACAGACTACAGAAATCAGGGATTCACCTATGTAATCATGTCAGATCTCAGTCTTCTTTATGTATAAGACAAACTGATCATGCTTCTCCCATCTCTTATGATGCTTTTTTCAGTCTCTGTCATTTTTGTTACCATCTCCAGCTTTTCAGCAGTTTTGGAAGTGTAACTGCCTGCAATACTGAAATAGATGCTTCACAAAGTCTAACATATATCCTAAACCATTCCCTGCCATGTCTCCTCACTGCTTACATCTACATATCAAGCATCACACGAGATTTTTCAAATGAAGCCTCATATCAGATCACTGTATTTGTGGGATGCAGCTCATTCTCTGTGCTGTAACTATGGCCTTAATGGCTTGTTCTAAGGAAAAATTTATCGTATTCAGAGAGCCAGAGAGCTCTTTAGACACACTCCCTTTTTGCATCCTTTCTCACTTGGCAACTCAGCTCATTACAATCTGATATGTTCTTAGCCTCTAGAAAAGCTGATGTTGCTAGAGAAAATGTCCATGTAAAATACAAGGTAGTCCTAACAGAAAATCCCAAGCAAAAAGCAAGCCACTTTGATCAGACTCACATTCAAATTAGCTGTGCACTTATTTTCCTCTGAACAGAATTACAGAATCACAGAATTGCCCAAACTGGAACAGACTTTTAGGATCTTGATTACAATCATTAACATAACACTGACATATCCTTGGTTAAACCATATCCCTAAGGACCCAACTCTTAAATGCCTCCAGAGATTGGGACCCCACCACTTCCCTGGGCAACCCCTTCCAATGCCTGATAACCCTTCAAGTAAAGAAATTCTTCTGGATATCCAGCCTAATCTTCCCTTGGTGCAACTTGAGGCCATTTCCTCTTGTCCGATTACTTGGTTGAACAGACTGGGTACAAGTATTTTTACTTGGTTAAACAGCCAGGTTGAACCAAAGGTATCATCCTGCTCCTCAAGGCACAGTAAATATTTGTTTAGCACTTCTGGATTTTGACTTTTATTTATACCTTTTACTCAGTCTATGAAGAAATTAATTTTGATATTTATCTTTCCTCAGTTCTCATGTTCCCTAATTTTCTTATATTGCTCATTATCATTACCCCTGTCACAGACTCACAGAATATTAGAGGTTGGAAGGGATCTCTGGAGATCATCAAGTCCAACTCCCCTGCCAGAGGAGGACCACAGAATCTAGGGCAGGTCACACAGAAACACATCCAGATGGGTCTTGAAAGTCTCCAGAGAAGGACACTCCATAATCTCTCTGGGGAGCCTGTTCGAGTGCTTTGTAACCCTTACAGTAAAGAAGTTCTTCCTCATGTTGAGGTGGAACTTCCTGTGGTCTAGCTTCAATCCATTGCTCCTTGTCCTATCATAGGGCACAAGAGGTTGTCCCTTCCTTCTTGATGCCCAGCCCTCATGTATTTATATACATTAATTAAATCCCCTCTCAGTCTTCACTTCTCCAGATTAAAAAGCCTCAGGTCAGAGAATTACAGAATCATTGAGGCTGGAAAAGCCCTCTGAGATGATGAAGTCCAGCCTATGACCCAACACCACCACATTGGCTAGACCACGGCACTAAGTGCCACATCCATCCTCTCCTTAGACATCTCCAGGGATGGTGACTCCGCCAATTCCCTGGGCAGTGCATCCCAATGTCTGATCATCCTCTTCATGAGGAAGGGCTTCCCTGATGTGGTTTCAGGCCGTGCCCTCTCATCCTGTCACTACTTGCCCAGGAGAAGAGCCCAACCACCACCTGACTACAACTTACATTCAGGCAGTTGTCCTCTACAGCGATAAGGTCCCCCTGAGTCTCGTCTTCTCCAGGCTAAACACCTCCAGCTCCCTCAGCCTCTCCTCATAGGACTTTCCCTCCAGACCCTTCACCAGCCTCGTTGCTCTCCTCTGGACCCGCTCCAGCACCTCAAGATCTTCCTTGCAGTGAGGGGCCCAGACCTGCACACCGGGCTCGAGGTGAGGCCTCACCAGCGCTGAGCACAGGGGCAGAATTACATCCCTGCTCCTGCTGGCCACATTGTTCCTCATACAAGCCAGGATGCCATTGGCCTTCTGGACCACCTGGGCACACTGCTGGCTCATGTTCAACCAGTTGCCAACCAGGACTCCCAGGTCCCTCTCCACCAGGCTGCTCTCCAGCCACTCCAGCTGCAGGCGGTTATCATGGCCAAAGTGTAGGACCCTGCACTTGATTTTGTTGAACTTCATACTGTTGGCTTCGGCCCATCAACCCAGCCTGTCCAGGTCCCTCTGCAGTGCCTTCTTACCCTCTGACAGATTGACACCCTCCCCTAGCTTGGTGTCATCTGCAAACTTACTAAGGGTAGACTCATCCTTTCCTCACAGGGCAGGCATTCCAGTTCCTTAATCATCCTTGTAGCCCTCCAATGGACTCTCTCAAGTAAATCCCTGTCCCTCTTGAACTGTTGAGCCAAGAACCGAATGCAATACTCTAGGTGAGGTCTCACTAGGGCAGAGTAGAGGAGGAGAACCTCCCTCCATCTGCTGGACACACTCTTCTTAATGCACCCCAGGATCCCATTGACCGTCTTGGCCGCAAGGACACATTGCTGTCCCATGGACAACCTGTTAACCACCAGAACTCCAAGGTCCTTCTCCACAAAGCTGCTCTCTAGCAGATCCCTCCTAACCTGTACTCCTTCCCAGAGGTAGGACTCCACACTTATTCTTGTTGAACCTCATTAGGTTCCTCTTTGCCCAGCTCTCCAGCCCATCCAAATCTTTTTGAATGGCCACACAGCCTTTAGTTGTATCAAACAAGCCTCCCAGTTTTGTATCATCAGCAAACTTGCTGAGAAGACACTCTGTCCTGTCACCAAGGTCGCTGATAAAGATGTTGAACATGACTGGACTCAGCACTGATCCCTGGGGCACTCCACTAGTTACAGGTCTCCAGTGGGGCTCGGCACCATTGACCACCACTTTTGGGCTCTGTTGTGTAGCCAGTTCTTAGTCCATCTCACTGTTTGTTCTTCTATCCCACACTTCCTGAGCTTGCTTATGAGGATGCTATGGGAGACTGTGTCAAAATGCATCTACCCATTCAGTCCCAACATCACAGAATGCTATCAGATTAGTCAAGCGTGATTTCCCCTTGGTAAATCCATGCTGACTACTCCTGATAACCTTCTTCTCTTCCATGTGCTTAAAGATGACCTCCAGAATGAGATGCTCCATCATTTTTCCAGGGTCTGTAGTTTTCTAGATCCTCCTCCTTGCCCTTTCTGAAGGCTGGAATGGCATTGGCTCTCTGTTTGGGGCTTGGAGGAAGTGGTTTTTAAAAACTGAGCAACTTTCTTGGGCTCCCTTACCCTCCAGAGTCTTAGCTCACAGGATTCCTGCAAGCAGATCTTGGAAGAGTACAAAGCCCTGTGGAAGTCCAGGGTTGCAATGCTACTTATTGCCCTGCTTCTTCCTTGTAAAATACTAAACTCTACCATGTCATGATCACTGTTGCCAAGGCTGTTCCCAAACTTAATGTCTCCAAACAGCACCTCTTTATTCGTTAATACAACGTCCAGTAGCACACTTCTCCTCATTGGTTCCTCCACTACCTGCATCAAGAAGTTATCATCGATGCACTGCAAGAGCCTTTTGGACTGAATATGCCTAGCTGTGTGGGCTTTCCAACAAATATCAGGGTAACTGAAGACACCCATGAGTACCAAGGAGTGTGTTCTAGAGGCTACTTCCAGTTGACTGTAGAAGGCCTCATCAACATCTTCTTGGTTTGGTGGTCTATAGTAGACACTCATAACACTTTCACCTCCCCTTTGCATGTCTCTTAACGCTTACCTACAAGCTTTTCACCTGTTCTACCTTCCCCCATGAACAGAACTCAATGCACTCCAGTTGCTCTCACACATAAAAAGCAACACCAAGCAACGTCTCACCTTGCTTATCTGTCATTCCTAAATAGTACCTAGCCATCCATGACAACATTCCAGTTATGGGAGATGTCCCACCATGTTCCAATGATTGCAATTATATCACAGCCATGCAACATAATGCAGATCTCCAACTCCTCCTGCTTATTCCTCATACTCTGTGCACTGGTATATAAGCATTTCAGAGAGGGAGTCAAGCAATTAGTTTTCACTCTTGCTATCTGAGCAATTGTCAGCCATAGTTTTTCCTGAAACCACTAGTTTATCCTGATTTATTTCTTACATTTCATCATTTTTAATTTGTACTGGACTACTATATATTTCCTTTTTTCTATTCATTTTCTCAAGCTTTTTTTTCTGCCTTCCCTTCTTCTCTGAGTCAGTGTCCCACAGTTTTCCTCTTGACTGACTGCGGTAGTGTTGACTGCCAGTCAGCTATTGCAAGAATTTTGGATCACGGGATGTTAGATCAATATGGCTTACTTGTACTCCATTAATCTGTTTTTCTATCTGTATTGTACTTACCACAGGCAACCTTGGCATCTGGATCAATACTGAGATGAGCATCTAGAACAGCATCACTTATTTGATCACACATCTTATCTAGAAGATAAACATAAAACAGACATTTCCTTTTGTGATTAAAAAAAGAAGTGATTTTTTAACAGAATTTTCATTTCCAGTGGGCAAGAGGCTTCTGTTCACATATCATCTGCTAAGAGGCAAGTTTAGCAGCTTATATTCAGAAAGGTATGTCTCATCCTCTTTTCATTTGTCTCCTCAAATCAATCCTAATCAACATTTTATTATCATCTGCACAGGCCAGCAGCCTCCCAGGTGAGGGGACAATGAAAAATCCCACAAAGACGTCCTGAAATATTAGTTTCCAGAGAATAGAAGATACAAGTAGTAATTTTGGAAGAAGTATGTAAACAAAGACATTTCTGTAGGGGTTTTGCACTCTTCCACACTTTATTTTAAACTTTGGATTATATTTTCGGTATGAATTACGTATTTTGAGGTACATCTTATAACAACCAGACTTCTGCACTTAAGGCAGTGTTTATCCCTTGAGCATGTAGAGTGAGGACCTTTGAGATCTTGTGTGTCAACTTTTTTGGACGACAAGAGGCATTGTTCTCCATACAAACAGGTACATTAGATTGAAGTCCACTCCTGCAATGATCCACAACTAGCCTGGAGAAAAGAAGGTTCCAGAGAGACCTTACAGCAGCCTTCCAATACTTCAAGGGGGTCTACAGGAAAGAAGAGGAGGGAATGTTTATCAGCAAGTGTAGCGATAGGGCAAGGGGTAATGGTTTCAAACCAAAAGAGGGGAGATTTAGATTAGATATTAGGAGGAAATTCTTTACTGTGAGGTTGGTGAGACACTGGAACAGGTTTCCCAGAGACATTGTGGATGTCCCCTCCCTGGACGTGTTCAAGGCCAGGCTGCACAGGGCTTTCAGCATGCTGACCTAGTGGGAGGTGTCCCTGCCCGTGGCAGGAGTTCGAACTAGATAATCATCAAAGTCCACAGAATCACAGAATGATAGCGGTTGGAAGGGACCTCTGGAGATCATCTAGTCCAACACCCCTGCCAGAGCAGGTTCATCTAAACCAGGTTTCACAGGGTGGCATCCAGGCAGATTCTGAATATATCCAGAGATGAAGACTCCAGCACGTCTCTGGGCAGCCTGTTCCAGTGTTCTGCCATGCACAAAGTAAAGAAGTTCTTCCTCACGTTTAGACAGAACTTTATAGGTTCAGGTGTGTGCCAGTTAACTCTTGTCCTGTCACTGGGTGCCACTGGAAGAAGGTTGGCCCCATCCTCCTGACACTCACACATTAATAAAGCTCCTTCTCAGTCTTCTCCAGACTAAAAAGTCCCACGTCCCTCAGCCTTTCTTCATAAGAGAGATGTTTTAGTCCTCTATTCATCTTTGAGGCTCCTTTCCAGTACCTTCTTCAGCAATTCCCTGTCCCTCTTGACCCGGGGAGCCTAGAACTGGACACAGTACTCCAGATGTGGCCTCATCAGGGCCATCTAAAGGGGAAGGATGACTTTCCTTGACTTGCTGGCCACACTCCTCTTGATGCACCCCAGGATGCCATTGGCCTTCATGGCCTCAAGGGCACACTGCTGGCTCTTGGTCATCCTGTTGTCCACCAGGCCTCCCAGGTCTTTTTCCACAGAGCTGCTTTCCAGAAGCTCAGCCCCCCAACCTGTACTCATACATATGGGGTTATTCCTCCCTAGGTGCAGTACCCTGCACTTGCCCGTGTTGAATTTCATAAGGTTATTCTTTGCCCGACTCTCTAGCCTGCCCAGGTCATGCTGGATGGCAGTGTACCCTTCTGGTGGTGTGTCAGCCGCTCCTCCCAGTTTTGTATCCTCAGACAGGTTGGTGAGGGGACGACCTATCCTTTCATCCAGGTCACTGATTGAACAGGACTCGACCCAGTACTGATTCCTGGGGGACTCCAATGGTTACAGGTCTCCAGCTGGACTCTGTGCCTCTAATCACAATCCTCTGAGATCTATCTTTCAGCCAATTTTCAAGCACTTCTGGCTGCATCCTATCGGGATTCATGGACTTGTGGATATCCAGTGTACATAACCGATCTCTGATTTGATCCTCCTCAACCAAGGGAAAAAACTTCCTTCCTCCAGATTTTCTCTGTTGCCTCCAAAGTCTGGGACCCCTGAAGGCTGGCCTGAGCAGTAAAGACTGAAGCAAAGGTGGCATTCAGTAACTCTGTCTTCTCTGCATCCTCTGCCTCATTCAACTGCGGCCCCACATTTTTTCTAGTTTTCTTTTTTGCCTCCAATGTACTTGAAGAAACCCTTCCTGTTGACCTTGAGACCCTTTGCCAGGTTTAATTCCAAGGAGGTCTTGGCTTTCCTTGTTTCATCCCTGCGTAGTCTGGCAGCATTCTTGTTCCAACCCAAACCACTCTGTGATTCTGTCTGGCTCATCTGAATTTAGAAAAGCATCTGCAAAAATTCTCTCAGGGTCAAGCACTGCCACTCACAAGTTTCCATAGTTATATTTCTGAGTTTGGGGTTTTTTTCAGGACAAAAGCACTGGAGAGAAAAGTTTTTATCTATTCTGTGTTTAGCACCTATGACTTATTGTCTGTGTAAGACACAAGTGGGAAAACATATTTGGTTTATTAAAAGTTAATGAACAATTTAGGGCACAAATTGATATTCTTTTCCCCATCAGTGAAACTGAACCAGATAAAAGAAATCTGTATTATTTCTTCAAAAATACAGGTTTGAAGGATTGCCTATCTGCAGAACAAACATAAGGAATGTGAATCAATCTTCATCCACCATCATTACAAAAGAAGGTATCAAAAACATGTTCAGCCACACAACTATACAGCCAAATATACAGCACTGTCTGTATCAATGAGCCAGACACCTATATTGTTTGTAACAGCCTATATAATTACCTATAAAATTGCTAGGCTAAAATAACTCTCTTGTAGGAGCAAATACCATTACATATGTGTACAGTCTCTTTCCAAAGAGGAAATTAATGAAGAAACATAACTGAATGCCCACTTTAAACTACTTATTTACTTTTGAAGAAGATCTAGTCTGGAAACAAACAAACATCAAAATTAAATTGTAAAGTAAGAGTAGAGTTATTCTGCACTTGAAAAGTCTGTAATTCAATGCAAAGTTTAAGTGCAAACTGATTTTTAGTATCAGATCTGTAGAGTAATACCTTTCAGTACAATCTAAAAGCAAGGAAATGTGAAAGATGCTGTAACTTTGAATGGACAAGCCATTGTGCTATCAATACTACCTCACTCAAATAAGAACTGAAACCAGGCTACAAGCAAAGCACAAATGCTAAAATGTACGCACCTCTTTTAATCACACAGGCTACAGTGATTTCAAACTCAGCATGAGTTTTGCTTATGGAGGTGCATAGCTCTCTTCTTCACTGGCATAATTTTCACAATCTGAATCAGCAATTTCCATACCTTTCTGTTTTGTTGCCAGTGTTTTCCCCAATCAAACTGAAGCTAAACTATTAACTGTGCTTTTCATAAGCAGTTGAGAAGTAAGTCCGACAATTTAGAGGCTTGAAAAAAAGGAAAACAACAACAACAAATAAAAGCCAACTTGATAGCTGTGATGGTTGCAGAGTTTCCTTCTCTGGAGACATTCAAAACTCGCCTGGATGAGTCCCTGCGTGACCTACTCTAGGTGATTCCATTTGGCAGGGGTGTTGGATTAGATGATCTTTCGAGGTCCCTTCCAGCCCCTCACATTCTGTGATTCTGTGTGATTCTGTGAAATCTGTCTCCTTATTTTTGCTGCACTGAACCCCATCTCACACACTGTCTTACTGAAATTTCTTGCTTGTGTATTTACTGAGAGAATCAGCTCTCAGTCAGCTACTTAAGTTATATTGCACCTTCACTGATAAAAACTGACCCAGTTTGAAGACACAAGGACATAAGATGAAAGACAGAAACATCACGTGGTCTTAACTTCAGATCCAGAAAGCAATCAAGCATAAAATGAGCAATGCCAGGTTCCAAAGGTTGTCATCTGGCTAGCTGCCAACAACCTTGAAGCAAACCAAGTCCTGAAGATTGCAAAACTATTGCAGACCTGAGGGTCCAATGCTCAAGTAGAAATGGCATAATCTGGAGCAACTGGTAAATTTTATAGCCTTCAGCTCTTTGCACCATTAGAACATACAGTGTAGTATTTTGAAACAAGTAAGTGGTTGTGGGAGTTCAAGATCTAATGTTACCTTCTGCAATGGTCCTGCAGCTCTTGTACTGTTCACTAGCGGCTAGGCAGACAGACTAATATGATTGGATCATACTGTGCCATTCCCACCTAATGATTAAGAATCCTGAGAATACAGATACACAAGAAAAATTCAGCTGCAAACCTTCCGTGTGTGTGTGAGGGTCAAAACAGGTTAAGACGCTGGAACAACCATAAACCGTGACTGAAATGCAAAGAGCAAATTTATTCTCGCTACCAGAGAAACTGGAGAACCTTTGTAGCAGCACCCAGGCAGAGGCACACAGGCAGCGATCACACAAGCAGCACAACAAGCAGCAGCGCAGGCCTGCGGAGATCTCTCCTTGCTAGAAAGTGTGTGGTATTTAACCTACTGCTTTGTTACATTTAACCTGTTGCTCTCTCCGAGTTCCCAGGACTCGGACGACAGATTTGCCATGTCCCATCCCACAGTGGGGCAGGGATGCAAGAGGTGCCCCTGCATCTATCCGAGGCCTCTGTTATCTAAGTGCGGGTGTGCTGCTTATGGAACACATAAGGCCAAGCAGTAATCCAGTCTGATGTTTGTGTTTTCTGACACTCCAGCTGCAAGTCACATGAGTGTACCTGCAGTCCTCCTTGCCAATCTTCCGTTATACTCTCGCAGTTTGACAACACCCTCATTTTCTCACTATTAGGTTTTTTCATTCCTTCTACTATGGAAAAAGTAAGAAGTAATGTTATTTTGAGTCTTAACATTAAAAAGCTCCATTTGAATGTTTTGCCTTTACTGTAAATTTGAGTCACTAGTATGTCTGCTAAAGATCCAAATTTCCTCCAGTCCATCGGTTAAAATGGCTTCTAGCTACGTATTTCTGTAAACAAAGGTGTACGAAAAACAGCTGAACTTAATGAACAGCAATTAGAGCTGAAGCATTGTCTTGTGGTCTCATGCCTGCAAAATCCAGGCATGTAAAGTACAGCAAAGCACAGAATATGTAAACTTGTCTTAGGGAGAGCAACACAGCAAAATGGCAGTATCTGGAATGCGGCTCTGATGAAACATTTTGGAGATCCAGAGTTCACTGATCACCTATAATAAATACTTTTTTCATTACATTTCAAACTTTCAAACAAATACTTTTTTCATTACATTCAAAACTGAATTGTAATCCCAGTACACATGGCAGCTTCAAGTTTACCTGTAGAATACCTCTCCATGCTTTTTTCTCTCAAGCAAAAGTTTTAAGTTGTGTATGTCAGATTATACTGCATACTAAACAAGTAAGACAAATTCTCACTGAACAAAGAAAGACACTAATCTGAAGCCTTTTCAGAATAATTAACTGGTGCTTTCTTTTCTCCACTGGGGGAGACATGACTGAACCTTCATCAGATAGCATTCTTCAGCGCAAATGTTAAAAGCAAAAACTCAGTCACATATTTACTTACCAGAATGTCCTTCAGCAACAGATTCTGAGGTAAAAAGAAATCGTTTTTCTTTATTTGAGGTATGCATTGACATGTCTTGGTATCCTTAGCAAGCTGCAAATGGGAAAGACACAATGCACCTGGACTACAGAACAAGCACAGGCAGAAGGCAAAGTGGAAAGGTTAACGTATCTATGCAAACAGCTGATATAATTGCTTCTGCGTGTTTGTTCCTCAGGAGTTCAGCAGATTACGACTGATCTGTGTAGGTTTTACAATGCGCTGCTACAGAAACTCCTCTCATAAGACTTTTGTGTTTGGTTAATTGTTGTTGTGCTAAACACTGCAGAAGTGTTATCATTACGTGACATGTGAGTATAGCTAAGCCAGAGTTCAGTGGTTTTGCACACTTTCCCAAGCCTTCATTCTTACTCTTCTAAGTAAAGCTAAAAAGCCCTTTCAGATAAAAAGCCCTTTCAGAGCCAGCCAAAAAGCCAACTAAAAAGCGCTTTCAGATAGTAACTTGGCATGGAGATTTTACTGTAATTTGTAAGGGCAAATGGTGGCTTTACCTTAATTTGTAAGGGAAAATTACACTTTCTCCTAATATCCATACACTGGACTCAGCTGCAGTAGTGAACTGTGCAGAAAAGTATCTCTCTTTATGTGAGAACAGCTGTTCATAACAGCTCCAGGTAGCAAGCTGTGCTCTTCTTTCCAAATACTATTGGTGTCAGTGGCTAAGTGAGGAGCTGTAGCACAAATAACAGCAAGCTCTATAGAAAGAGAAACAAAGACAATAGGTTCATTATAAGTTGAATTCTGAGAATAAAAGCTATGCCTTAGCTCAAGAAATCTTAAGCTTCTCAATAGTCAGGCTCGCAAAATTCATTTTACAGACACTTTTTCTCACTTCATTTGCCTTGATGAAGACAGACTAGTAGGAAACAGCTGGACTCAAGTATCTATCTAAATTAAGCAAAGAAACGCTGCCCCTTTGGAAAGACTATTTGACTTTGGCTTATTTCAGAATGCAGGGCAAAAGCACAACCCGAGTACAGCACAGTATCACAAAGCTATCTAGGAACAACAACAGATGCATCTGGCCTTAAAAACACTTGTCCTTCCGAGCTCTACGCTGCTGCAGTACATTAGGTTGAGCTCAGCTTCTCTAAATCAGTAGTCATTTCTGAAAATATTGCTCTATAATCTAAGCATGCTAAACAGTAACAAGAGTGGAACTGAGACACAGCTACAACTTCAGCTGTAACTGAAGGCTTCTCTGCTCTCCATCACAAGATAACCACACTTTCTACCAGGCCACCAGCAAACAACTCAGAAGAGATATGTGTTAATTCTGCAAAGAGGTCTCCACTGCTAGAAAGCAGCATGATTTCACTTCAGGACGTTTCCCAGCAGTGAGATTTAAGAGGCAATAAAAGCAGTAATGAAGGCAAGGAACTTAGGCCAACAAGTCAAAGCCAACTCTCAAAAAAAAAAAAGCAAAATCCTATTTCAGTTGCAAGAAAAACTGGAGATGACACTGCCTAGCTGTGGTAACTCAAGTGGTAGCTAGTGTGCTGCAACACGCCAGTCACCCTTGGTGAAAGCCACCACTCTTTGGAGTGATACATGAAGAGGTGACGTGGTTGAAGAGACTGCCTTCACACCTTTTTGGTTCTACCTTTTTTTCTAAATTCTAAGAAAAAAAACTTTCAGCACATAACACAAAAAACACCAGTTCTCAGAGGACACTGATTGCTTAAGTGTGGGCGGAGAGAATAAAACGGAAGACTTCAAACCACAGTTAATGATTATCAGAAATACGTTATGAAATTTATTAACTTATCTATTTTATTGCCTTTCTTTGGTTTCGAAATTTAATACAATACAATATAAAATTAAACTACTTATACAGAGATTTGCGTGCCTGGAGCTATTTCAGTTCTGTGTGAAAAATACCCTTTGAGCTGAAGTTACATGTTCCATTAAACACTTCATACAAAACATTAAAATATTCATATGAAGAATTTCAATCTTCTTCATCATGAGTTCATATCACATTGCATTCTAAAATAACTTGTGTTTTACCTTGTATCGTATACACTATTCTCAGTCAACATATGATCTGTAGCATGTTTTGTAATGTAAGGTATACATATACTTCAACCCTAGCCTTGAATGTAAAAGAAAAAAAAAGAAAATTTAGTCAATTTTGTAAGTGAGAAACCAAAAAATCAGAGGCAAGAGACACCAGAGCATAGGAAAGAGGTGCCAGGGAAGGAGAAACATGAAGGCAGGAGGATGCTAGAGAAAAAGGAGGCACAAGAGAATTTACTTGAGGAGGAATGGAGCAGACAGACACTTACATGGGAGCAGATGCACAAAAGAATTCACAGGGCAAGTACAATTCCAAAGGGTCTGCAGATGGTGGACAAGCCCATGCCAGAGGAATGGAAACAGAAACATGGAGAAGCAGAAGAATGGCAATCACAACACACAATCTTGTGCTCCCTATCATCTCACCCAAGGAACTGAGGCCAGGAAACAGAGTGGAGGGGTGTTCAGAGGGAAATTGGGATGTTTTCCCTAACTGATCTTTTGTCTTCTTTATTTTTCAATAGTAGAACCAGTAATTAAAAGTTTGTTAATTGGCAATAAGTCAAATTCCCTGCAACAAAACTGTTGTGACCTTTGTATCTCAGTCACTTATTCTGTAATCAGTTCAACAATGTGTGCTCCGCCTCAGACCACTCAGGTCAGCCCCAAATGAAAATGATGTTCATTCACACATCTGCCTCTGGAAACTTCTGCAGAACAACTGCTGTTCTTATGGGCAAATGTATTCAGGCCCTTATCTCCTGACTGTTTCTGGCACTCAGTGAAGACCTCAGAAGGTGATTTTCCAGTCCGTTCTCTGCTAAGGCCCCATACGTACTTGGCTGATGGCGAGGCCTCCCAGCTTTTCAGCTCTTACCTCCGGCCTCTCCTTGCTTCTGAGTGCAGCCAGAACTCCCATCTTTTCTTTGCAGGAAGACAACTCAAAATTTCAAGCATATAACACTCTCAGGCTGATCAGGTTTGGCATATAGCAAGGTTGACAGCACCCACCCACTTCCTTGCAGACTCCAACTGCTTTAAGAGCTAACCTCCACCAGATGCAGAAACCAAATCTGGGGCACAGCTGAGTGATTTCCAGAGTCTCTTCCAACTACTGATTAGATCGAGTTGTATTATTTCCAACACCTATGGATTTCAGAGATTTCTACAGCAGTTCTAGCGTATCTGCTGGACTCTTCCTTCCCAAAAGTCAAAAATTCTTCCCAATTTGTAGTACGTATTCAGCTGTGTATTTCTGATCTGGCCTCTGTACTCTTAGTTCCAGCTGACACAGGAGCTGAGGAAAATCAGTTTTTTACTGGAGGCAGCATCCTGCACTGGAAGAATGCAGTATCATGGTGTTCTTTGGTCTAGAACATATTGGATATCTAATTCCTCTCAGTAAGCTGAGCCAACAGTTTATGAATTAAAGTGCATTTTCAACATATTTTCATATAGGAATTTGTGCAAACCTAGAACATTTACACCTCATCAGTAAGCGTTTTCGGTCTCTGCAATTTGAATTCTTCATATGGTATTTGAATCCTTGGCCTGTTTTATGGCTTTTCCTTAGGAAATCCACTATTCAGTAAAGGGCTTTTCCAGAAACTGAAAAGACAAAGTTTATGATGACCAAGACACTGCCTGACAAAATCCTGACATAAATTCCTTTGAAGATCCTGACTCTTTCAGTTACAGCAAAAGACTTAAAAAATACCACCATTTCTCTGCAGTAAACCCTCTTTGTAACAGTGTTTGCATCACTTGAGTTAGAGCACAGCTTGACTGGAAACTGTAAGCCGTGCACAGGTTCCAGGTGGGCTGTCATTATGCTGTGAACTAAACGTGCCGACAGGAAAAAAAAACCTTGAAGGACGGAAAGCAGCACACAAAGTGAACGCTGAAGGTTGGTTTGGCAATAAAAAACGAAACAAAACCCAAACCCACGGATTGGGGACGGGAGGGAAGAGAGTTACTTGGACTTCAGACTCGGATTTTAAAATACGACTTATAAACAAGGCTGGGAATCTCCAGGTACTCCAGCCTCTGCTAAGTGTAATCGTCGGTGTCCACACACGACGTGCGAAGGCCCTTCGCGCTACCTCCGAGATGAACCCCTTACGAGGACGCGGGCGCTTCCCGCCTCACG